TGTTAATATCAAGGAGTGGAGTGAAGAAAAGACACTAAACCAGCTACTAAATTTCTTCAAAGTGATTTGGGGGCAGCTAGGTGGCCCAGTGGATACAGTGCTGGCTCTGGAGTCAAGAGGACTCCAACCTCAGCCACGTACTAACAGTGTGATCCTGGACAAGTCACTTAACCTCAATTGCCTCAAAAAAAGAAAAAGAAAGAGGAGATTTGACCTGGAAGTCAGTAGATAATATGTCAATAAGGATTTGAATTAGGTGATAAAGAAGCTCACAGGAGGAAAAAATTCAGAAAGATGGCAGCAGAGTACATACAGATACGTGACCTCATTTGGGCTTTTCTCAGGAAAGATACTGGAGTGGTTTGCCATTTCCTTCTCCAGCTCATTTTATCGATGAGGAACTGAGGCAAACAGAGTTAAATTACTAGCCCAGACTCACATAGATAGTAAGTGTCTGAAACCAAATTTAAGCTCAAAAAGATGAGTCTTCCTAACTTCAAGCCTGGCTTTCTATCCACTGGGCCACCTTGCTGTCCCTATCTCTATGCTTTACATGTCCTTTACCATCTCTTTGCTCTCATTAGTCTGTTTCTGGTATGTCCTCCCTCCTTTTCTTGTCCTGTGGGATTACTGCCAACCCTTTAAACATGTACTCAAATGCCACCTCTACTATGAAGTCTTCTGTATTTCTCCACCCCCTCCCAGTAATAACCTGCTCCTTTAGTCCTTACAGAGAACTTAAAGTTTTCTTTTTTTACATTGCTAATGAACTTATGTGTTATATTTATCTATGTTATCTATGTCTATCTATCTATCTATCTATCTATCTATCTATCTATCTATCTATCTATCTATCTACCCTCTATTGCAGGGGTCTATAGCATGTATAGGTGTCTGTGAGAGAGAGAGACAGAGAAAGAGAGAGAGACAGAGAGGCAGAGACCCTTTGACAGTCTGGTAAGGTCCTATAGCATTCTTCTCAGAATCATGTTTTTTTTTTCTTTCAGCTAGTAAGGGTCAAGTGTTTGGTCTGAGGCTGAATTTGAACTCAGGTCCACCTGACTTCAGGGACAGTGCTCTATCCACTGCACCACCTAGCTGCCCCCTCAGAATCATGTTTTTAAATATGGAAGATAAAATATATTAGATTACAAAGTTAATGAATTATATTGAAATGTAGTTAAATATTTTTAAAAGCTCACAGATTCTAGATTAAGAACCTTTGCTCTCTGGACTCAGCTCCTTAAGACTCAGAGACTATGTCTTATTTAAGCTTTGTAGCTTCCTTAGAACCTAGGACGGTGCTTTTGAACAGAAAGTCTCGAATCAAAGTTTGTTGATTTTAATTGCATTGTTAATCTTATTAGACATTCCACTGAAGTTAGATTTAAAACCCTCAAACTTTTGCTTTCTTGATTGCATGTTTTAAATGGCAAATGCAACACTTAAAATGACTTCTTTCACAAAAGTCCCTACTTCACCATTTTTTAAAGTGTTCCTACTTCCATTTTTTCTGGACTCTAGGAGTACATGCCATGGTCACTGAGGTAGGCATATTTACTGTGTCATTGAGCCAGGAGGTTGTTTTTAGATGTACTAAGGAGTGATAGTATTTTTCTGCAATTTTCTTGTTTTGATTTGCTCTATGTCATATATATATGTATATACCATATATGGGTGTATATAATCTTTTTAAAAGTTTCTGAATAACTACAAACCCACTCTTTTGGACAGAAGTTTGCTTTGGCAGACTGAAATCATTTTTATGTTATGCTATCCCCTCCTGGATTTATTGTTAAGTTGAAACAGACAAGTAAGATCCAGAAAAATAAAGCTGGTGATAAAATCTGGATTTGTAGCGTCCCAAGTCAAAGATTCTAATTGAAATAGAAGTGAATAATATCTTTAATTTTATATCTGTCACAGTTCTGTCACATGGATTACACCACAGCATTGTTGCTTTATGCATCAATTTTAGCCTTGTCTGACCCCAGTGGGACAATGTATTCCCTCCTGTCCTTAGGTCAGATGACTTTGACAACTGTCCACCAATTTTTTTGGATGCTTAATGTTGAAAGTATTTCTCTAAGGGATTAACTTTTGAAATCTTGTCTAGTGGAGCTGTTCTTGTTCAGTGTGATAACTGGGATAATGACCATATTAATAAATTACATTTTGTGTCTATTGTCTATTTAAATTTTCCAAATACATTCATATTTGCTATCTCGATATTCACTATAATAACAGGTATACAAAGTAAGTATCATTTATCCCCGTATTTTTATTTTTATTTTTTGTTTGGACTTGTAGTTTTATTGTTATAGGAACTCCCAGTAAGGAAACTTCCTTTATCAATGCAGATCAAATGTTCTATAATTTATAATCTCAGAGAATTGCCTGAGGCATTGAGGGGCTAATTGACTTGGTCAGGCTAACAGTCAGTATGTGTGAAATGTGGAATTTGAACTTGTGTTTTGTTTTCTTGACTAAGAGACAGGCTAGCTTTCTATTCCCCATGTCATTCTGCTTGTCATCCCCATTTCATGGACATGAAAACTGATGCCCAGAGAGGGTAAGAGACTTGCCTGATAGCTAATTGATAACAGAGCTAGGACTAGAATCCAAATTCCCTGGGTGTATTTTACTCTACCACACTGATGTTCTATAGACCATCTGTAGTCTTCTTAAGACTAGTTTTTTGAGACCATACAAGATTAGATGTGGAATTATAGTTTTAGGCCTGTCTGATTAACAAGGTTTGTTTAGGACTGTGAGCTTCAGAGTTTGTATTTCTGGACTTTCACCGTGTAAAGCCAGCCAACTAGACAAGCCAAAGTAAATCAAATGTATTTAATTACAAGACACAAACTGATTTCGTCATGCTCTAACAAATGCAAATTTACAGGAAAATGTCACAGGACTTTTCTTTTCTTGTTATATTAGTCCACTGCATTCAGTAAACTCCCATATTTCATCCTTTTCATAGGTAGTCCAAGAAATCTCCATATTTTCAGATTACACAAGATAATCTATGTCAAGCTCTTTGCAAAACTAAACCTCTATGTAGATGCTAATTGTTATTGATAACTATTATTGTTTGTAGTAGTATTACTATTACTACTACTACTACTGATAATGAGAAAAATAATAGTGGCGGGCCTAGGTAATATGTAGTTCCTTCTACCTCTTCAACCTCAGATTTGGAGCATCCAGCCCTCCATATGAATCTTCTTTCTGTTTCTCCTGCTCTCTCATATCCAATAAATTGCTTATATGCCTTATATGCCTTTGCCATGAAAATAGAAAGGATGAACACTTGTCAATTGATGAAATTCATGAGCTCCTTTTGCTACACTAGATTCCATGACCAGTTACTAGCATCATGACCTCAGTAATCTAGGCTTCCTTGACCTCTCACTTTTCTACTCTTTTTTCATACCAACCCCTTGCCCTTGGCCACTTCCATTGTATGTTCCTTATCCCAAATTTCAGAACAGTAGTTTACTTATTTAGGCAATTGGGGTTAAGTGACTTGCCCTGGGTCACAAAGCTAGTAAGTGTCTGAGGCCAGATTTGAACTCAGGTCCTCCTAACTCTAGAGCTGGTGCTCTATTGATTACACCACCTAGCTGCCCCCTAGACTAATAGTTTGAAAAAAGAACCATGGAACCAGCTGATATGGCTACAGATTGCCACTTCGATTGAGATCAATCCAGGTAATTTCAATTCAGTTGAATGCCAGTGGTAACATTGCCAAGATTAGGCTTTGCCTAAAACAGGAATATCAAATCAGTTCACCTTCATTCAGGTTACATCACTTCTATCTGTGGTATGTTACAGCAAATAAGGCTCTGCCTTTGGAGTCCCAGAACATGGATTCAGATTTCTGCCTCTGATAATTGCTACCTGTGTGACCTTGGTCAAGTCACTTAACATCACTGTACTTCAGCTTCCTCATCTGTAAAATGATGAGATTGACCTACATGGCCTCTGAGGTTTTTTCCATCACTAGATCTTTGATCCTATGATTCATTTTGTTCAACGAGCATTTATTAACTGCCTTTTAAGACACCATGCTAGTTTCATTCTGGTCTTCACTCCTGGTTAACAATGTTCTCATACATTTCTAGAGCTAACTTTGAAAATCTTCACTTTCCTCAATTGCTCTGTGGCCACTCCTACCATCCAGCCCATTCCTCTAACAAATGTGCTTATATACACTTGGAAGATTATTTACCTTACACTATCTTTGAAAGATATAACCATCTGGCATGAAAATACTCCATCTTCCTTTCTCTTTGTTTCTATCTCCATATTCACAGACTCTCGGAGGTAGAAAGGACCTCATCTCACCTCCTGTTTCTGAGGAAAAGGTGTCTGTTTTCATATTCAAGGCAAGTCCTTTTAGCTTTGCACCTGATCTCACATACCCTTAAGGAAACTTGTACATACAATTATCAGTCCCCAGACCTCAGCACCTTCAACATTTTCTCTATATTATACAGAATCACAGAAACATAAAGCTGGAAAAGATTGCATCTCCATCATACTTTCTTTCTATTTAAGCAGACGAAATGTCTGCTTTTTCTCTTTTCTAAGGCTAATCCTCCCATCTGTGTTTTTGATCCCATCTGCTCCTCTGTGACTTTCCTTTTATGATTGTTCTCTCTCCTCTGTAGCATCTTTAATCCCTTCCTCTTCACTGATTTCTTCTTTCCTGGCTTCAAGTGTAGATATATCCCCCCTTAGCTTGGAAATAAAACAGTAACAACAAAGAACATTTACCTGGACTCTGTAGTTTCATCTGGATCTTTCCTATTTGTCTTCCTTCTTTCCCTCCCACATTTCTGGAAGTAATGCTATATGCCTATTACTTCCAGGTCTAATTGCCTATGCTTTCCATAACATATTTCAATATTCTTGCAGTCATCAAGATGTCTGCAGTCCATCAGATCACCTAAATAGCAAACCCAGTGGAATTTTCTTAGTCTTTAATTTACCTTGATTTCTTTGAGGTCTTTGACACTGTTGACCATGCCCTTTTCTTTGAAACTTTCTTTTCCTTTGTCATCTATGACACTACCCTATTTTGGCTTTCCTTTAGCTCTCTGTGTCTTAAGCTATGTCTCATTGGTTCCCTTCCCTCTTTCCACCCCTAAATGTTGCAATCCTCCCATGTTCTGTCCTTGACCCTGTTTTCTTTTTTTCAGTCTCTCACTGGAAGTTCTTTTCTGTGAAGCTCTCAAAACTTGTCCATTCTCTGAATTTCTATAATATATATTATTGTTAACATTTATTTCTCAATTCATTTCAACCTTGTGTCATTGTATTGGATAGCTGCTGATATTTATATCCTGTTTTGTTTTTTCAACTTTTTTCTTTTTATGTGTTATCCACCCATTTAAATTTCTTCCTTCCTTCCCTGCTTCTCTCCTTCCTTCCTTCCTTTTCTCCTTTCTTTCCTTCTCTTCCTCCTTCTTCTCACCAGTGGTTTCATTGGCATAATAGACTTCCTACTGAGGAAAATTTCTCTAACAATTCTGATCACTAAGTCTTGCAATTTACACTCTTAAGGATCTTACTGGATCATCGCAAGATTAAGTGATTTGTACCACTTTGTCTCTGAGGCCAGTTCACTATCTGTATCATGCTTGCTCTTAACTATATTATATACACTCAATAATGATAATCAGTATACAAGTGTTTATTAAGTTTCTGCTATGTGCCAGGCATTGTGTTAGGGAGCTTACATTTGTAAAAGTGTTTTATAGTTAGTAATTTTCAAATACTATCCCACTTAATTCTCAAAATAATGCATAGAAATATTATTATTCCCATTTTAATGAAAAAGAAAACTGAAGGCCAGGGAGCTTAAGGGCCCTTAGTCACTTACCTCCCAAAGTCACATGATAAATAAGCAGAGCTGCAATTTGACCCTAAATCCATTGAACTTTTCAAAAGACCAAACTGCTTCTCCTTTAGGGGAGGAATAATATATTTTGCCTATTAGTATGCCCTGTAGGACCTGTCTTGCCATCAGATGATCTGGTTCAGATATACTTCTAACTCTCCGTGTGACTTTGAGTGACCCTTTGAACCCCTCTGGACCTCAGTTTGTTTCCTTGCCTGTACAATAAAGGTGTTAATGTTGATGATCTTTAAGGTCCCACCCATCTCTCAATCCTATGATCCTTTGATTGAAAGAAATGATCCTTGAACCATTAAAAATAAAAGTTTGAAGATAATATATTCTGTTCTTGCTCTTCATTTATAGTAATGAACCCCTAGAGGTGAAATGAGTTACCAAAGATACCATAGCTAATAAATGGCAGAATCAGGATTTGAACCCATGTATCTGGATTAAATGCATTTTTTTTGCTATTGAATTATACTACTTTGCAAATGTCAATATGCTTTAAAATTATTGTTTGAATAGATTGAGCAGCTATAATCTTTTCTCCCTCACAAGTTGATAGTGAGAGAGCCCTTGGGCTATGAGAAGCAAAGTATTGAGGGTATCAGTATCCATGATGGAAGGAATCCTTTAAAGGTAAAGTATTCTACCTTATTAGAGTTGGGTTAATAACAGTACACAGATCAATCATCTCATTTGATCCTCACAACAACCTAGTGAAGTAGGTGATTTTATGATCCCCATTTTGCAGATAAAGAAACCGTTTTAATGACTTGCTCTGTGTCACACAGCTAGTAAGTATCCCCAATAGGGTTGGAATCCAGATTTTCCTGATACCAGACCCAGTACACTACCATGTCTACCATGTCATGATTCTTCTCTACCACAAGCAAAGTTCAACCTTACAGGTCAGTAGTGAAAGCCATCACCTATCTATGTGCTGCAATTTCTAGGACTCTGGGAAAGCATTCCCTACCCCAAACATTGCCCTGATGGTTCCCTGGAGTTTGAAAATTGGTGAATATTCATTTCTTTAGTTTGTTTTACCATTTCCCTCCCTTCTTTTAAATTGCAAACCCTCTCCAGATAGGTAATATTTAGTACCTCTATGTGCATGAGTTCCCAACTAGCTTTGTGACTCTGGGCAAACCATTTAACCTTTCTAGGAATCATTCTCTTCACCTTTAAAATGATGGAATTAGATTTAATAGATGATTTGGTGTGTAAGGACAAACTCTAGAGTTGATATGGAATTGATACTGAAAGAGATATTGAAGGTACCTTTGGATTCTAACTTTCTTTGCTTCTATGTGTGGTCAGATCACTTTCTTCTCTAACAGGAGAAGATGGAACTTCATGGAAGTATTAGTCATTTGAATGGGGCTATTGGGGTGTGGTATGAGAAGAACACAGAAAGGGAAGGCTAACTGCTCTGAAGACAAGCTCTGTTGACATCACGATTTTGTCTAGGGTTGCGCCATGTCATAGTCTCCCTGGTTTTTTTCTTTGAATTTTACCTGTCTCCATAAATTTTGGCTACGGGGACTGTTATTTACCAGATCTTTCTCTCACATATTTTGGACTGAGATGTAAAAACACATGTACAGGTAGAGTCTGCACTATAGCATCATAGTCCATAATACGCATAGCTGTGAAGGAAGTGGAATGATAAACTTGATAGCCTGGAGCCATTGCTGCTGTATAAGATATGTGTAAAATCTTATCAGATCTTGTGACAGATATGAAGTTCACACATGTGTTTCTACTTGAGTCCCATGCTCTTTCATAATTGTCCTATGTAGTTTACATTAATTTCACTGTGTTCTCATATTCTGCTCCATTGAAATAAGTTAATAAAATATTAATTTGAGAGTGAAAGTTCTATTATTTCCTGCATTAAAATTGATGATCATTGATACAAGTTTATGACTTATTTGTATCTTTTTTCTAAACTTAGGAAAGGCTTATCATGCAATAATTACCATGCTATAAATTGAGCCCCTTTTAGCCAAGCAATGATGAGTTTATCTATAATTCAAGCCAGAATAATCTGAGAGGAAGAGCTGGATTAAAGATGCAAAATTAAAGTTTTCAGATGACCAAAACTATGTTTGTCTGTCCCACATAATACTACCCAAAGGGCAATTCCACTGTGCAATTTTTAAAAATATAAATAAAAAATTAGCAAATGGATACAATCTCATATTAGGAGAGAGAAACATATAGGTGGACAGACAGATGGGAGAAGATTGTGGATATAAAGGTTGGGGCATATATACTTTTATCCTTCAATGGATGTGTGGTTTCTTATCAAAGGTAGTACTCTCTAAAGATCAAAATAATAACTCCTCCAATGCTTTCTCATCCTGGGTCCTCTTTTCATGTTTTCATATAAATTTTCCATGGGATTAGATTTCATGTGCCAGGAAGCAACTACCAAGTGAAGCAACTCCCTTTACCAATAAAAATTAGCATTTTCTCTAGAACTAGGATTGTAAACTTTCTAAAGGCAGGGGGTGTGTCTTCAATTTACTCTACAGAATCCCCTGTAGTATATATCTCTCCATCATTCACAAAATTGAAATAATTCCTTCCATTATCTTATATTTGTATAGTCTTTATAGATAAAGAGACTTTTTTTTGCAACTGTTTTTAGTTGTTTCACACAGTAGCATGCTGGGACATAAGTAACTCAAGTATTTTCTTCATGGTGCTACATAGGAAGTATCTAAGTGCCAGAGGTTTAGTGACTTGTGATGTGACACAGTTAATAACAGTAATAATAACTGGCTTTGATAATATTTATTTATATGCTGCTGAGATTCCATGCTCTTTTAGGAATCCACACAGTCCCCTGCATCATCAGATTTTTATTCATTTTCCTTTGTCTTGAAATATTTATCAGAGATATTTGGAATTTTTTAGCTCATCTGGAGACTATATTCTCTCCTGCTATTGAGATTTTCTCTGTTAATTTACCTGGTAATATGGGAATTGCCCTGGGTGGGAGGAGGCTTGGATAGCCTTTAGGTCTAGTTGCCAGGGAAAATCCAATCAAAGAGAAATGAATCAGAAAATGATCACTGGTGGGAGGAAAAGGACAGAAATTACAAAAGAACTTAGGAAGAAAACTCAGTTAAAGACCTTGAACATGAGCAGCAAATCATTCTAATTTTAAATTTATTGAAAATGTTAGTGGATTTCCTTATCTCTTATTTGGGTCTAAATTTATACTTTATAATAATATATCATGAAACTTTGTTTTCTTATTTTTCTATGCCTTATATTTAGTCTTTATTGTTTTTCTGCTCCTGGATACTTACTCTACATTGCTTCATACAAGTCTTCCTACATTTCTCTAGATTTCTGTATTTGTCTTTTTATAGTGTAATAACATCCCAGTATGTTCATATACCACAATTTATTTAACCATTCTATTAACTGATGGGCACTCACTCTGTTTCCACCATTGTAATAATATTAAAATGTAATTCAGCTTTCCAAACTTATGAGGAACAAAAAATAAAGGGAAGATGATGAGGTTCCCTCTCATCAGGGTTCAGGTGGATAGTGCTTGTCCAGGATCATTAGTGAGTAGCAGGCCGCCCCTCCCCCCACCACAGCAGGCAGAATACATGATTGGTAACTAGTCACCAGCTTCTAAGAGATTCAGTTACTTAGGGACTGAGACGTGAATTAGAAGGTCAATAAACTTCAGGTAATCCTTGGGAGTCTCTGGAGCAGCAAATATTTGCTAATCTATCATCATTTAACAGCACAACTATATTCAAGACTTCCGGAGTACACATAGCATGGGCTTTAAGACCTGCTGATTTGGAGTCCATTCTTTCCTCTCCTTTAGTGTTTTACTAGGAATTTTTGTTTGCCTTAGAACTTCCTGACTGACTAATTATGTGAATCAAGGTTGATGAAAATAAGTTCATTGAAGCTTACCACAGCCAATTGAGAAGATTTCTAATAAAATCAGAGGTAGAGCCAGCAGACATCTGGCCAGTGACATAAAAAAATCTGCCCACTAGGAGTTGGAATTAATGTACTAGGAAACCAGGAGTACTCAGAAATGGGCTATTCTTAAAACCCTTCTTGGATAGAGTTCAGGTTTACCTGAAAATTAGGAGAAATCCATCC